CACGCGCGAGAATGTATTGTGGGAACTTTTTCTGTATATATGTGTGAACATTAATATACAGAGATATAAGTACATACACACACACACACACACGTATATATATTATATATTATATATATAATATATATATATTATATATTTAACTAATATATAATATATATATATACACGCACGCAAACACACAGATACACATACACATATATATGCATACACACACACACACACACACACACACACACACACACACACACACACACACACACACACACACACATATTATTATATATTTATATATATATTATATATATTATATATATTATATTATATATAGTATATATATATATATATATATATATATATATATATAATATATATATATATATATATACACACACATATACTCATATGTATGTGTATGACATATTATCCCCCATATATATATATAATATATATATATTATATATATATATATATATATAATATATATATATATTATAAGTATATGTATCTATGTATATATACATATTTTATGTACACACATTCACACATATATGTGTGTATTGTCTTTTGCCTGTGTGTGTGTGTGTTGTGTGTGTTGTGTGTGTGTGTGTGTGTGTGTGTGTGTGTTGTGTGTGTGTGTGTGTGTGTGTGTGTGTGTGTTACGTGTGCAGGTACATGGACTTGTGCGTGTTTGTACATTTGTGCATATATTTGCTTTAAAATACAAGAAATAATCCCCGAACTCGTTTCCCGTCTTGTATCAGAGCGAAGGTAGGCCTACCCACCGTCACCATAGTTGTGACCTGCCAGGCGTCGGTAGGGCTCGTAAGCGGCGCCCAGGTCGGGTTCCGCAGGTTGTTGCAGGTGCCATCGATGGACCGGAAGTGCAGGAATGCGTTGCAACGGGAAGGGTATATAACCTCTGTGTTGCAAAAATTGCATGATTTCATTTTATTTTTACTCTTAGATCTTCCAAGCTCCTGTCTGATATTATCAATCCTTTTCAAATAACGCTTCTTTATCATATGAATTCCCACTGAACCCATCACTCATAAGGCTATCACTTGCACCCAAATTACAATGAAGGGAAGGGACCTATTGTATCAGCCACAGACCTCCATGTCCCTCCGAATTCGCCTCTACGATGGGGGTCAGTAGAGCGGCCAAGGCAGCCGCCACAAAGATCAGGGAAGTCTTCTGCATTTTTCCTGCGATGAAAGAAATCGGATATATAACTGGAAAAAATAATGATCATAATTATGATAGCAGTGATGACAATGACAATAATAACAGTGAATGGGATGCTGATAAAAAAGGATGTAAAGAAATATAATGGTAATGCCGATGATACTACTACTACTACTTCTAAAATTAATAAATAATGATAATGGCAATAATATTCATAAACATAATAAACAACGGTAACAACAACAAAAAGAAAAATGATGGTAGTGATGGTAGTACATAATAACTAACAAGGGTAATCGCAATGATATAAATAAGAACAATATATGCACATTGGAAAATAAGTAATCACTTTGCAGCGAAAAATGTCAATTATGAGTTGTTGAAAAGCCCGACTGTGTGTATCTGGCATGTTATTCACACGAGTGATTGATAAGGAACTTTAGATCTTCCTTTGTGTCCATTTTTTGAAAATATTACCATCTGAGGATATCTAACGGATACGTCTGCAGAGACATTTGATATAGCTACATACACAAACAACTGTGAGCTTCTTTGTGTTCATTGTACTTTATATGTTGAAAATGTGCAGCTTAATAAGCCTTAGTTCCTCTAAAGTCTTAATGTCGTGTCGTAGTAAGAAGCTTTCAACTTACTCTGATGTGTTGCTCTAACGATGTCAATGATTCATCTCGTCTGCCTGGCCTGATATATTCCCCAGAGGTCTGACCTAAAATTGAGTCAAAAAAAATATATATATATAAATAAAACAGTTCATATGTTCGTTTTCACAACGCTACCTACCTGACAGACATGTTTAATTTTTTCAAGGTCAAGATGTACTCACTACTATCTAATCTAAATAAGAAAAAGACGCAAACTGACACGTATCAAGACATGTAGGTTGCACATTTACAAACATTTAACTTTTCATAAACTCTCCATTATATAATATAATATATATATTATATATATATATTATATATATATATATATATATGTAAATATAAAATATATATATCTATATATAATATATATAATTGTGAATATGAATATATAATGAAATAATATATATAAATATAATATATATATATAATAATATACTTATATATATATTATATATATAGTTATATATATATAGATATAACTATTATATATTATATACTATATATTATATTATATACATATTATTATATATATATATATNCAAAAAATTAAATAGAAAAAAAATGTGATTGAACCTTCCATGTTTGCATTCATGGTACAAGAAATAAAGCGCCCCGAGGCAAGCCGGTCCACTGAGGACGCGCCGCGC